AAGGAAATGAGGCGCTTAATAAGCTTAAGGGACCAGCTGAAGATAGGAAGTGGCAGAGCTGGGATTGGATCTCGGTGTGCCTGACTCCAGAACCTAACTTAAGAATGATGCAGTGCAGCCACTAAAATAAAAGCCTCCCGGAGATCCTTGTTATGTGGTATCTGTACATGTTGGTCATTTATGTTTATATACTGTTTAAGGAGCCGTGGTGCTGCAGTGGTTAAGCGCTTGGCTGCCAACTGAAATGTCGACAGTTCCAACCTATCAGTCACTCCTTGGGAGAAGGATGTGGCAGTTGCTTCTGTAAAGATTACAGCCTTGGAAACCCTATGGAGCAGTTCTACTGTGTCCTTAGGGTCACTATGAGTTAGAATCCACTTGACGGCAGTAGGTTATTGTTTAAAAGTATTTAAGAAACAATGTTTAGTTTTGGAAATCGGGGCTTAATTTTGTGATTGTTAAAACAGTAATAAAGAATATACTTTTCTTTGTAAATTTAAGCTGGAAGTCAAATCGTGGCTCTGCCCAATGACCTAGGAAAGCCCTTGTTGTCTGGTTCACATAAACATATTCTTATACAAAAACCGGTGAGCTGTTGGCTGTGGTTGTAAAAGCTTTTGTGTGTGAGTGCATAGATACGGGTAACCTGGAGCTGCAGCTTGGAGTGCTCTGGGCTGCTTCTCAAGAGGGCCTCTTCTGAGGAAAGTGAGAAATGAATCCTCAACTTCAGTTTTTTACAGTTAACTTTGCAGTAGACTTCATATCACATGGGGTCACCATGAGTTGGAATCAACTCAATGGCAACTAACAACATTATAGGCAGACTTAGTGCATCACTTGGGGCCCTCCCCACCTTATTATTTTCAGGATCCCATCACTTGTGCGTATGTGTGCACGTGTACGCAGCTAACTCATTTTTTGTGTTTTGGTTGCAGTTTTGATTTTTGGATCCTGGCTCTCTTTACTGTGCTGTTAGTTTCAGACTCAAGAACAGAAATGCTATGAAGGTAGATAAAACAATGAATCCATCCCTAATCCTACTCTTTAATTTTCTGGTTCTCTAGAAGAGATGGTGCCAAGTCAGAGTTAGGGGCTCAAAGGAGCCTCCCTTTCTGGTTCTTCTTCTCTCTGCCACATCATACTTACTCTCTTGCCCACTTACTCTATTAAGGCATGAATTCCCTTACTGAAGAAGACCTGAGTGATTGGACAATAGTCACCTGTTTTTTTTGGGAGCATAGAAAATTCATTGATAGAACTGACCTTCACTTAAGGTTCCAAATGCCTGTGAAGTGAGCAGCAGCTGTAATTACACTTGATACCAGAGGAAGGGAGGTCCAGATCGCAAACAATACGCTGTGTTGGGTTTTAGTAGGTTGTTGTTAGGTGCCGTTGAGTCGTTTCCGACTCATAGCGACCCCGTGTACAACAGAATGAAACATTGCCCAGTCCTGTGCCATCCTCACAATTGCTGCTATGCGTTAGCCCATTGTTGCAGCCACTGTGTCAGTCCATCTCGTTGAGGATCTTCCTCTCTTTCACTGACCGTCTGCTTTGCCAAGCATGATGTTCTTCTCCAGGTACTGGCCCCTCCTGATAACACATCCAAAGTACGTGAGATGACGTATCACCACCCTTGGCTTCTAAGGAGAATTCTGGCTGTACTTCTTCCAAGACAGATTTGTTCTTTCTTCTTGCAGTCCATGGTGTATTCAGTATTCTCTGCCAACACCATAATTCAAAGTTATCAGTTCTTCAGTCCTTCCTATTCATAGTCCAGCTTTAGCATGCATATGAGACAATTGAAAATACTATGGCTTGGGTCAGGTGCACATTAGTCCTCAAAGTGACATCTTTGCTTTTTAACACGTTAAAGAGGTCTCTTGCAGCAGATTTGTCCAGTGCAGTAGGTAGTTTGATTTTCTGACTGCTGCTCCCATGGGCGTTGATTGTGGGTGCAAGTAAAATGAAATCCTTGACAACTTTAGTCTTTTCTCCGTTTATCATGATGTTGCTTATTGGTCCAGTTGTGAGAATTTTTGTGTTCTTTATGTTCAGGTATAATACACAGGGAAGGCTGTAGTCTATGATCTTCATCAGTAAGTGCTTCAAGTCCTCTTCACTTTCAGCAAGCAAGGTTGTGTCATCTGCATAATGCAGATAGTTAATGAGTCTTCCACCAATCCTGATGCCACATTCTTCTTCGTATAGTCTGTTTTCTCAGACTATTTGCTCAGCATACAGATTGAATAAGTATGGTGAAAGGATACAACCCTGATGCACACCTTTCCTGACTTTAAACCACACAGTATCCTCCTGTTCTGTTCAAACGACTGCCTCTTGGTCTTTGTGCAGGTTCCTCATGAGGACAATTAAGTGTTCTGGAATTCCCATTCTTCGCAATGTTATCCATAATTTGTTATGGTCCACACAGTTGAATGCCTTTGCATAGTCAATAAAACACAGGTAAGTATCTTTCGTGTATTCTCTGCTTTCAGCCAAGGTCCATCTGACATCAGCAGTGATATCCCTAGTTCCATTTCCTCTTCTGAATCAGGCTTGAACTTCTAGCAGTTCCCTGTCGATGTACTGCTGTAACCGCTTTTGGATGATCTTCAGCAAAATTTTACTTGTGTGTGATATTAATGATAATGTTCCATAATTTCCACGTTCTGTTGGATCACCTTTCTTTGGAATGGGCACAAATAGGAATCTTTTCCAGTCTGTTGGCCAGGTAGCTGTCTTCCAAATTTCTTGGCATAGACAGTTGAGCACCTCTAGTGTTTCATCAGTTTGTTGAAACATCTCAACTGATATTCTGTCAATTCCTGGGGACTTGTTTTTTGTCATTCCCTTCAGTGTAGCTTGGACTTCTTCCTTCAATACATCAGTTCTTGATTGTATGCTGTCTCCTGAAATGGATGAACGTTGACCAGTTCTTTTTGGTACAGTGACTCTATTCCTTCCGTCTTCTTTTAATGCTTCCTATGTCGTTCAGTACTTTTCCTATAGATCCTTCACTATTGTAGTTCGAGGCTTGAATTTTTTCTTCAGTGCTTTCAGCTTGGGAAATGCCTAGCGTTTTCTTCCCTTTTGGTTTTCTAACTCCAGGCCTTTGCACATTTCATTATAATACTTTGTCTTCTCGAGCCATCCTTTGAAATCTGCTGTTCAGCTCTTTTTTTCTTCATCATTTTTTTCTTTTGCTTTAGCGGCTCTATGTTCAAGAGCAAGTTTCGGAGACTCTTCTGACATCCATTTTGGTCTTTTCTTTCTTTCCTGTCTTTTTTTTTTTTTTTTTTTTAAATCTTTCAAGGAATTTACTCATTTCATCTAAGTTGTTGAATTTATTGCATAAAGTTATTCACAACTGCAATGTAACAGGTTTCTCTTTATACATGGCCTTTCTGGCCGTGAGTTTATGATTTTGCCAAAAATAATTGGTTGGGCCACACTTTCCTGTCTCTTTAATGACCTCTTGTTTTCTTCATGTATGATGTCCTTCCACAATTCGTCTGGTCTTTGGTCATTAGTGTTTAATGCATCAGATCTGTTCTTGAGATGGTCAGTAAATTCAGGTGGGATATACTCAAGGTTGTACTTTGGCTCTTGTGGACTTACTCTAATTTTCTTCAGCTTCAGTTTGAACTTGCAGATGAACAACTGATTGTCTGTTTCCGTCTGTTCCACCCGAGTTGGCCCCTGGCGTTGTTCTGACTGATGATATTGAGGTTTTCCATCGTCTCTTTCCACAGAGATGTAGTCTGTTTGATTCCTTTGTATTTCATCTTGCAAGGTCCACGTGTTTAGTCACCATTTTTGTTGTTTAAAAAGGTATTTGCAATGAAGAAGTCATTGGTCTTGCAAAATTCTATCATGCAATCTCCGGCATCATTTCTTTCACGAAGGCCATATTGCCTGTGAAGTGAGCAGCAGCTGTCTGTTGGAATTGCTCCCAGAAGAGATTGCAAACAATATGCTGTGCTGGGTTTTAGTAGTAGCTACTATTTTTACAGAATCTAGAAGGTTGTGATGCCCTGGGGGAGCTCGTAACCAAATGGTACGAAACTAAATTCTGGTCATTAATTCAGATATGTGCTGAAAATTAACTTATCCCTATATTAATAGGGACATAAATGTGTTTTTCATTACTACCATGAGTTTAAAAAAGTGTTGCACATTCATGGTAGACTTTTGTCTAATCCACTCTGAAAAAAACCTGTAGAGTAACCACTTTGAGAATCTGTTTGTTCTTGGGGAACAAATGTCAGAAATTTGAGTGAGAATTAATCAGAAAAACACAAAATTCCTGAATTCATTATAATGATATAGCATGTAATATTTTTGTTGATCTTATCTCATGTGAATGAAACTAATTTTTTGTATAGTATTTGCTTAGTATCACAACTTTGTCTATCGATTTTGATATCTTGTTGATTTTATACTTTGTGTTGGGATTGTATGATTCATTCCTTGGATTTCATTTTAGGTAAAAAATAGTGTATTGCAAGGCACTGAAAGTGTGTTTATAATTCAGTCTTCCCTCTCCCCAAGTATCTTGACTTAATTACCAAAAAAAAAAATTGGTGAGATACAGTTTTTTTTAAATTTCAAAAAATAATTAAGGTTGTCTTTAGATGAGAAGGTTTATGAACAGAGAAATAACAATGGGAAGTGACAGGAGCAGATCATTAGCAGCTCCTCCTCAGGATTTTCCAGTATTCTTATTGTGTTACTGTTGAAGGCTTCATGTCATGACCTCTTTATCTTATTTTATTTTTTTTTCATTCCATTATCTGCTGGCTTTTAAATGGAATAATTTCTTTGGTATTTGCAATGTTTGGGAGATGCTTTGAACATACCCGGCTATTGTTCCCAAGCACTTAAGTTAAGTTTGGGATTGGGATTGGGCTCTCATGCTGTGAATTTAATGATCAACTCTTTTGACTTTAAAATACAAATTGTCCTGTATTTCATTGTTCTCTTAAAAATAAAAACAGGCTGCAGATACTTTGGCTGTGAGGCAAAAAAGAAGAATTTATGATATCACCAATGTCTTGGAAGGAATTGACCTGATTGAAAAAAAGTCGAAAAATAGTATCCAATGGAAGTAAGTTACAAACCAACGCCCTTTCTAAAAACTCTAATTTTTCTTCTCAATGCTCTGTAAAATCTGGCCTTTCTAACATTCCTTAAACCTCTGTTTCAGCCCTCTGCCCTAGTCACACCAGGCCCCTCACTTTTCTCTGGACTCACCTCTGGGCCTCAGTATATTTCATCCCTGTTTTGGGATGTTCCTTTGCTCTTCTCTGCCCTTAAAGCTCAAGTCTTACTTTTTCCCTTAAGCTATTCATATGGCACCCACTACTTACTGCTTGATATTATTAATCCTTCTCTACCTAAGTCTTTATCTCCTCAACTAGGATAAGCTCCTTGAGAACAGTAACTATGTCTTATACATAATAGTTGATTATAATCATTATAGTTGATTGTAATGCATGTTGTCATTTGTTAACTATTGCATGGTTGTGTGTGTGTGTGACTGTGACAATCAGAAAAACAAATCATTCTGTTCTTTAAATTTGGGCCCTTTGACTGTACTTTTTTTTTTTTAAGCCGAAATTCCAAAAAGATATTAAAAGGTTATAATTTACCAGTATCTGAGTCTACATCATGAGAATGCCAAATGACAGTTTATTTTTGATGTCCTCTGGGCATCACAGTCACCAGCCTGGCCTTCCAGATGACAAAAACCACTCTAGACCATGCTAAGAATTTTTATAATTTGTTTGTTCTTGTCAATAAATTTTTTAAGCAAATATGTTCAGAGGTATGGTGTTTGTTTTCTAATGATTTTAATACTGTATTTTTAGAAGAGTGTATAACGATATTTGTCTTGAATATGTTACTAAGCCAAAATTACTACAACAAAAATTAAGTTATGTTAACCTGGGTCTGACACTGGGGATATTAAATATTTTTAAGAGGTGTAGGTGCTGGCTGTAATACTAAAGAAGTCATAGATAGATTAAGGTATCTTAAAGCTGAAATTGAAGATCTAGAACTGAAGGAAAGAGAACTTGATCAGCAGAAGTTGTGGCTACAGCAAAGCATCAAAAATGTGATGGACGACTCCATTAATAATAGATATCCTTTTAAGTTATACATGTTGTTATAAAATATATATTTATATAATATAGTCTTCCAGTTTGCAGGTCACTTGCTTTATTCTAGTGTTTTTTGAGTTAAATTTTTGTTTTAGTTGTGTTTTATTGTTGTAGTTTAAATGTTTACATTTCAAGTTAGTCTCCCATACAAAATTTATACATACATTGTTATGTGACCCTAATTGTGTGACAGCACACTCCTCCTTTCCACCCGATTCCCCATGTCCATTCAACCAGCTCCTAGCCCTCTCTGCCTTCCCGTCTCACCTCTGGACAGAAGCTGCCTGTTTAGTCTCTTGTATCTACTTGAGCTAAGAGGCATACTCCTCACAAGTATCACTTTATGTCCCATAGTCCGGTCTAATCCCTATCTGAAGAGTTGGCCTCAGAAATTGTTTTAGTTCTGAGCTGATAGAGAATCCAGGGGCCATGCTTTCCAGGGGTTCCTCCAGTCTCATTCCCACCATTAAGTCTAGTTTTACTAGAATTTGAGTTCTGCACCCCATCTTTTTCCTGCTCCATCAGGGAGTCTCTGTTGTGTTCCCTGTCAGGGCGGTCATTGGTGGTAGCTGGACACCATCCAGTTCCTGGTCTCAGGCTGATGAAGTCTCTGGTTTCTCTGGCCGTTTCTGTTTTTTGGGCTAATATTTTCCTTGTGTCTTTGGTATTCTTCATTCTCCTTTACTCCAGGTGGTTGGGACCAATTGATGCATCTTAGATGGC